ATCTGATTTCCCACCCACCCCACAAGCGAAGACAACTGTCATAGAGCTGTACGTTGATAATCGGGAGGAACAAAACTCGCGCGCGCCTTTTTCTATCATCTGTGAGTGGGCCAGTGTTTGTTGTTCGCGCTTGCTGACGTCAGCCTGTTGGTTCATCGACCGTCCGTTGCGCATACACACGCGCTTGCTGTGTCAATGGTCTACCTAAAAAAGGGTTTTTTTTTCAATGCCCCGAGGGTGTAACTGCCGGTTCCAGGGACAAATGAGCAAACGCTCCCTCGAGACCGCAAACAGAAAGTGAAACCAAATAAACGTCTGTTGTAATCGGGAGAACAATACAGGTCAGAGCTTTTTAAGGTGAATGAAGGTCCAATGGGCTGACCGAAAGGGTCCGGCTTGCACAAACTTGCCTTCTGCATAAAAGGGTACAAAAAAAAAGATAGTTTGGCTCTGTGATTTCAGCTACCTTATTAAATCTTTATATCGAAGCATTCCTACTGCCGCACGAATGCTAGGTGCTGAATGAGCATTGGAGATATTTCTCTCCATCTTATGTTTGGTTCTTTATAATAAATTCTGGGTACTGGTAATTTTTGTAATTCATGGTCATTTACTCAGGTGTTATGGCTACGTTCGCGCTTACTGACGTCAGCCAGTTGGTTCATCGACCGTCCGTTGCGCGTACACACGCGCTTGCTGTGTCAATGGTCTACCTAAACACATCCGTCGCCGTGTTCTTATGCAGTGCAGAGTGCAGCGACTCACCACGGAATCTATCATGGGACATGCTGGGTGATGGTGAGGACAAACTTATTAATCCTTTCAGGGACAGCGGTTACTACAGTGGACAGTTTATCATGTTAGCAGGTTACAGGCTGCATGAAAGGGTACAAAAAAAAGATAGTTTGGCTCTGTGATTTCAGCTACCTTATAAATCTTTATATCGAAGCATTCCTACTGCCGCATGAATGCTAGGTGCTGAATGGGCATTGGAGATATTTCTCTCCATCTTATGTTTGTTTCTTTATAATAAATTCTGGGTACTGGTAATTTTTGTAATTCATGGTCATTTACTCAGGTGTTATGGCTAATAAACAAAACACTTGAGGATAAAACTACTTGTCACTTTACTTCCGTTTGCCTTGATTCTATTTTCATGAGAGAGTCGCAGAAACTTCCCTCGCAGTGGTTGCGGAATGCAGGGGATGACATTTTAATTAAACAGTCTCAAAGGACGTAACAGAAATGAGACGAACATCCTGCTTTTCAGTTTTCACATGTGCATTGTCTGTCGAGGCTTCTTGAATGTCGCAGCCACCAATCCAAGCCCTGCCAGCAGAACACAGCGGCATCATACATCCCAAATATAAGGTATCGACTGATGCTGAGCTATCAAATATTTTTATAATTGATTATCCGACTACATATCCTGTGGATTGATCGCGTAATTGCATAAAACAACAAAATATGCACGAGGTGCAGTTATTGTTGTCCACTTGGGTGATTTTGAGTAGATGTGTGGATTTGCAAGGCGGCGTCTGACCTGGTGAGTGACGTGGGTGTCAATGAATGACAATGCCTGTTGTGAGCTCAGGTTTGGCTGGCTGCTAACTGCTAACCAGTCTGTGTGTTCAATTCTTCTGCATCAGTTGTGGCTGTAGCAGCTCGTGTCGGAATACGCTTATTACATTTTTTATGTGGTGACCATTTGATTCGAAATTGCGTTGATAGGCTATGCTAACCCTTTCGTCCACCCTGTAACCTGATAACATGATAAGCTGTCCACTGGAGTAACCGCTGTCCCTGATACATCCCAAATATAAGGTATCGACTGATGCTGAGCTATCAAATATTTTTATAATTGATTATCCGACTACATATCCTGTGGATTGATCGCGTAATTGCATAAAACAACAAAATATGCACATGAGGTGCAGTTATTGTTGTTCACTTGGGTGATTTTGAGTATATGTGTGGATTTGCAAGGTGGCGTCTGACCTGGTGAGTGACGTGGGTGTCAATGAATGACAATGCCTGTTGTGAGCTCAGGTTTGGCTGGCTGCTAACTGCTAACCAGTCTGTGTGTTCAATTCTTCTGCATCAGTTGTGGCTGTAGCAGCTCGTGTCGGAATATGCTTATTACGTTTTTATGTGGTTACCATTTGATTCTAAATTGCGTTGATAGGCTACGCTAACCCTTTCGTCCACCCTGCAACCTGATAACATGATAAGCTGTCCACTGGAGTAACCGCTGTCCCTGAAAGGGTTACATTTGTTGGCGATTGTAGACATGCTGTTGTGGTACGTTACACAGGTTCTACTGCAATTGGCTAGATGGCCTGAGTGAGAGTTGAGCATAGCATAGTAGTACAAGTGAAGAGGCTGACGGAGTAGATGGAGAGAGAATTAATAAGCATGGACGGAGAGGAATTGAGTGAAAGAGAGAGTTGGCGGTAATGATGGCAAGGTGAAGGAGAGGCCGATGAAAGATGTCGCCAGGGTGGAAGTGACGGTACGAAGTGAGACGTCACGTGCCTTTTATGTTGTCGCGACTCGGGGAGAGCTTTAATAGCTTCGAGTTGTCAGGTGCGATGTGTAAAGTGTGTGTTTCCATACGTGAAAGACATTCCGAGATGGCTCGCGGTGGTTTTTTTTTGTACATTCGCATCGACGAAAGTGATAGGAAGACGGAGTTAAGTACGCAACGGCGCTCCGCAAGGATGAGAGAGAGAGAGAGAGAGAACACATTCAAAGCTCAGGGAAAAAAAAATTGACAGACATGACAGAGTGCCGTGAACTAAAAAACGAAAAACACCTGAGGATGATGACTCGAGAGGTATACGGAAAGGAGTGTGATGCAAAAAAATTGAAAGCATAATTGGCGAAATGCAAGCAAGGAAATGGAGATTTTGAAGAGCAACACGAATCTTCAGCTGGCTCAGGTTTCGACTCGAGTTTGTTCTGTTTGACAGCCAAGATCTTCCAGAATTGCAACCATATATAGCATAGTTAATTTACTTTCTCGCTCAAATTTTAAATGCATCTCTGACTGAAAAGCAGAATGTTGCATAAAAGTTTGTGTACGCAACAAATTGGGACCTGGAAAGGACTCTAAAATGGCTGCATCAAGCCAATATTGCTTTTCAGGTGTGCATTTTTAAGACTTTTTTTTTGTTTTTTGTGGGTCTGAACACGGTAGACGTGAACCAAATTTTATGTTGTTACAAGAGGAGCATCTGAGACCATAATTGGAGGTTATGGGCGCGATTTCTACCAAATGCGCGTTTTTATCAAGATGACCACCAAATCTGGGGCCTTTTTTTGTGGCATCGTAAAGCCCTCAAAATGGTGATTTATTTGTCTGAAGAATGTTTGACATTGTCAAATGTCTTTGAATAGTTCGGGCATCACTAAATGATTTCCTCTACTTTTCTCATTTTCAACTTGACACTTTTTGGCTGGTTATGTTATATCTTGAGGGTTAAAGAACGAAGCTCTTCTTGCTTCAAAAGACTCCAAGGCCCATAGATCGGCATGAATAGTCAAGACCCGACTGAGTTAGCGAAATGCGAATACAGAGGAGGGGGATGGCTGAGGCGAGGAGGAAATGGAGAGAGTCATGTGTCGCTCTCATCAGTCAGACATTGTTCATCCAGCAGCGGAGGCCCGATGGCTTTGTCACGGCGACGGATCCTCGCTGGCTGCGTGCCGTCGTCGTCTCTCCATCGCGCCCCATCACGGCGCATTATGTCACTCAGACGTTTCGTCGGCGAGCACGTGTACATGCTACGCGAGGCGGGAGGTATTTAGTCAGCACGCACAAAAACCCCGCTCATGTTTACTGGTATTGACACACACGCAGTCAGGACGAGCAAGGTTGGACACATTTTGTGTTGCAACTAACGCCGGAATGACCGTTGCCAGACTTTTTTCTGTATTACTGTAATAAATGGTTTGCAAGATGACTGTGACGTGTTAAATGAAATTAATGCCATTCAAATCAAATCTACGATAAATATGGTGGCCCGGTGGACCAGTGGTTAGCGCATCAACCTCACAGTGCAGAGGTCGTGGGTTCGATCCCAGCCCCGGCCTTCCTGTGTGGAGTTTGCATGTTCTCTCCAGGCCTGCATGGGTTTTCTCCGGGTACTCTGGTTTCCTCCCACATTCCAAAAACATGCATGGCAGGCTGAGTGAACGCTCAAAATTGTCCCTCGGGGTGAGTGTGAGCGCGGTGGTTGTTTGTCTCTGTGCGCCCTGCGATTGGCTGCCCGAAGACGGCTGGGATAGGCTCCAGCACCCCCCTCCACCCTTGTGAGGATAAAGCGGATCAAAAAATGGATGGATGGATGGATGGATGGATATTAATATCGGGAATAATGAATATTTTCAGGGGTGGCGGCTACTATTAACCCTTTCAGGGTTACTACAGTGGACAGCTCATCATGTTGTTAGGTGTCATGATTCTGTTTGGGACCAACAGGTGGCACTGTAGGGCTCTCCCTGCAGATGCGCGCCTGTTGGTCGTTCTGTAATTATTGCTTTAAAAGGACTCCCGTCCCGACCACTCATTGTCGGGTCATTGTTTGTTTGTTTATTTGCTGCTGTCATGTCTGTTCCGGTCATGTTTCGGTTCTTGATAGTTTTTGCTTCAGTCATGGTTTTGTTTGCTACTTTGGATTCGTTTTGTTTTCCCAGACTTTGTGTGTTCTGGATTTCGTTTCCTTAGTATTTTAATACAATTCTTCAAGTACAAACTGCTCCTCCCTCCTGCCTGCTTTTTGGGGTCCACCACCACCACCACCAGGCAACGTGACACAGAGTGCATGAAAAGGGTTAACAAAAGGTTCGCTGCTTATGTCGGGGCTTGGTCCCGAAACGGATTCCGAGATGGTTTGCATCAGGTTCACTCCTGTTTTGCAGCTTTGCAAAGCAACAGATGTCAAGCGTTCCGTAAAAACATTCTGACCAATGCGTGTCATTTTTGTTTGTCTCCGCAGTACTACGAAATGTCCTACGGACTCAACATAGAGATGCACAAACAGGTAAGAGAGACTTTTTTTTTTCTCTTTTTCACACTGTGGAGTTGGAACGTTGGTATGGGGGATGCGTGCATCTGCGTGTGCGTGCATTTACCGAGTAGGCGGTAGGAGGTAATTGTTTTTATTTTACACACTCAAAACACCGAATGCCACTTTGTCATTTCGTGTGGGTGGGGGGGGGGATTATTTTAGTGATTCTTGTTCCCTCAACGACTGCTCCGCCTCCACATATTTAAACAAGGTTGGCAAATTAGCCAACACATTTTTTTTCCCAAACAAAAACAGTCAGATGTAATTAGTGCTTGGTTTAGTTTCAAACCTAAATGAAGTCACCTTAAAAGAAAAAACAAAAAAAAACATTAACACAATTTAGTGACTGCGTGTACTGTTCCAGCATGCTCGACGTTCCAAAAGCAGCTGCGTGTTTGTAAAATTTGAATGCAGTCGAACGAGCGCTTCGGCGCTCGGCTATTACCCCGCAATCACGCTGTCATTTGTCAGTTAAGGTAATTACAGCGCACCAACATCTAAACAGTGGCTTTCCATCGCCGCGATGTAGTAACGCTCACTTGAATGCAGCAGTTTGTCTATCACGATCACAACTTTCAAGGCTGTGTTTTTTTATTCACCGTCTCGCATATAGTTAGTTAATATAGTACATAAAATTAGGGCCCGACTGCCTTTTTTTTTTTTTTTTTTAGGCTGATGCAGATCCTGATATTTGGCAGAATAAAATTCCAATAACCCATTAATCCTACCAACAACAACATAGATGTGCTGCCTTGAAATGTCGCGGTGCTTTGTCGTTCTCATCTCGCTCTCACTCCTGTACGGCAGCTCTGGCAGCAGGGACTGAGGAGGGCTTATACCTAACCAGCGCAGCACTCAGCTGACATCAGGGTTTCCTAATAGCGCAATCAATCACGGTTGACTTTCTTGGGAGCCATACTGGGGACTAATTTACAGCAAAAAAAAAAAAAAGACTAATATGTGACGCACAGAGCGAATGACGTTTACGTTGTGTAAGGAGAAAGCACAAGTGACCACGTCAGCCTTTCATGCGCCAATAATGATAACCTGATAACATGATAGGCTGTCCACTGTAGTGACCGCTGTCCCTCAAATGGTTAATAGTGAACCAAGGTTGCAAAAAAAAAAAAAAAATCAACAGCTTGTTTATTGAAAAACCTGTAAGGTGGGACAATTTAAAAAAAAAAAAGGTTTTCAATTTGACCTAAAGTACATTGTACACGCATGGACAAAAGGCTGTAAACAAGAACAACAAAAAAAAAAAAAATCCATTACGTGTTTCCCTTCGACTCTAGTGTTTGAAGTTCTTCTCTCTGCACGGTATTCTCACCAAAAACAAGTTCCTCTCTGGTCTGCAGCCACAGACGTGGGCCACGTTTTGGAAACAGGAAAGCCATGAATTACTTTTTATGATCGCTTCGTTGCACTAGTAAAGCGAGACACATGCGCAATTCCGGTGACAGATGGATAGGTCGCATCGATTCCAAAAGCTGACACCAGACATGAGTATTGACAGAGAAACACAAGGGAATGAAACGCTCAAATGGGGAGACGGGAGAATAACTTTGAATTGTCAAACCGCATTTAAAACACACACACACACACACACACACACACACACGCACACACACACACACACACACACACACACACACACACACACACACACTTTAGGGATTGAAACAGTCACATATTGTTCCTCTTGTTGCCAAGTAGAGTAAGTTATGACCATTTTTTTCCCTCATCTGGCATTGATTTGTGTGGTTGCAAATTGAAAATAGACCTCCAAAAAAAACACACCGCAGCTGAAAGAAAACAGAATGAGTGGTCAGTTTTTTTTGAAGATTATTACTGCTTCAAAATAAATCACTGTCAAATAAGGATTGTTCACTTTTTTCCCCCCCTGAAAACGGCAACAATATTATTGAAAATAGCATCTTTATTCTTGCGAGATGACTACTTTATAGTGATGAAATTGTCTTTTGTCGATTTTGAATTGTGGGAGGAAACCGGAGTAGTCGGAGAAAACCCACGCAGACAGAGGGGAGAACATGCAAACTCCACACAGGAAAGCCGGAGCCGCAATCGAACGCTGCGCTTCTGCATTGTGAGGCCGACGTGCTAACCGGTCGACCACCGCGCCGCCTAGTCCAAATTATTTGCTTTTCTTCCTCGTGAGTTTCCGTCTTTGTTCTCGAAAAGGAAACACTTTAGTGTTGTAAAATTACAGAAATGAATGCCGGGGGCGTGGTGAACCGAGGCCCCTGCATTTTGTTCCATTTTCACATCATGTAAGCGTCAGAAGAAGAGAAAAAAAAAAGCAAACTTTGAAGTTACCCAGTTTATCTGGGGAAATAAAGCCGATATCGAAGAAATGTGTAAAGGATCGAGAGATAAATTGGACGGATGAAAGAGGGGAGCGTAAACAGGAAGGATGGAGATGAAGGAGCGATTGATAAAGACCTCTGAGAAGAGATGAAATGAGATGAAGCTGGAAAAGAAAGTGGTGGAGGGTGGAGAAACGGAGGGGGAGAGACTTCAAGGAGCTGCACTGAGATATAATGATTCATGAATAGATTTAACAGTATCTGCTCTTATTTCCTCTCCTCCTCCCTTTCTCCCGCTTCCAGCTTCCTCTTTAACATCCCGTTATCAGTCTCTGTCTTCCTCGTGCTCGTCATCATCATCATCGTCATCATCATGAGCGGCGTGGCCGTCGCGTGTGCCAGCATTAATTGAGCTGTAACATCCCCCCCCTCCCCACCGCCATCTTTCTCACTCGGTGCTCTCGCTTCTTCCTCTTCTCTTTTTCCACTTTAAGATTTGAACGACACAGGATAAATAACAAGCCACGCCGTCTGTCTCATATTTATTCCGATGACGCTATGGATGTCCTTCCTCTCTGCTGCCGCTTCCGCATGCAGTGATGAGACTCTCTCCCGACAAGTCATCGCTCGTGCCCCCCCTCCCCCCATAGCCTCCGCCCCCCCACTTTCTATGCGCACAGACTTTGAAATTCAAACATACAGTATCCTGCGCGGCTCCACCGAGTTGCTCGAATGGCCCGGGCTGTGCGTGTTGTTCCGCCCTGAGGAGTGTGGTGAATGCATGAATGAGATGGAAGGCTTTGCTGGACCGGTCTAAAGCACTCATAGCCTGCTGAAGTGCAGCCTGGGAGGAAAAAAAAAAAAAGGACAAGTGGTACGACAGGGAATAAGATATTTCCTACTTGTCATCAGAAGCTGCCTTCAAGGGGACGTACGGTGAATAGAATGTCCTCAGCTGGCCAATGGCAGCGACAACCACGCTAGACAATAACTACGAGGCAACCTCATGAAACAGTTTCAAGCACGCTCAGGGATGGCAGAATCACGTACACCACGGGTGTCAAACTCAAGGCCCGGGGGCCAGCTCTGGCCCGCCACATCATTTTATGTGGCCCGCGAAAACAAATCATGTGTGTCAATTTCCATGATCCTTGCTGAAATCTGCACCGAAATGTCAAATTGTCATGTGTAATAAATGTTATTTTTTTACTCTATTAACACTCATTCAAAAGATTTTTGAACAAACTATTGTAGTTGATTTGACTGATTTCAAAACTGGTAATCCATCAATTTGTTGTGTACAAGTAATAATATACAAACATTGATTTATTTTCACTGTCGTAACGGCCCTCTGAGGGAAGACATCACCTCAAAGTGGTCCGCTACAAAAATGAGTTTGACACCCTTGACGTACACGTAGCATGTTGCATTCGGGATACTTTCACAACGTTGGTAACATGCAAATTCACCACGTCATTCTGTACAATTGTAATGTTGTTCAAATTGGGAGAAGGCAATATTGAAAAACAAAAAAAAGCCAATTATATAACATAAGGCATTAAAACCTTTAATTAAATTAAGCTATTCTCTCTGCTCCCAAATGCTGTAGTCGTGTCAGCTGAATCCACACCTTGCTTATTAAATGGCAACTGTCAATCAAATGTAACTACTACAACATCCATCCATCCATTTACCGAAACCGCTTTTTCCTCACTGGATTTGCGGGGGGGTGCTGGAGCCTATCCCAGCCGTCTTCGGGCAGTAGGCGGGGGACACCCTGAACCGGTTGCCAGCCAATCGCAGACTACTACAACATGCAATCATGAATGCTGCTTTGCTGCATCGTTTCTTATCCCTCCTCATGTTTGAGCCACTCTTAAAACCCTTGTTTCTACGCCAGCTGCCAAATCTGACTTAAAAAAAAAAATCCCCCCTTTGTACCTTGCTGTAGCACTACATAACATGCGTGCATTTACGATCAACAACGAGGCGCTCTTAAGTGGCCACGCCAGCCAAAGAACCTGTCCACATGCTGACTCTCAAGTCAAACTGCACCGAAACAACATTTCAAACATACAACAACACAATAGTTTTTATTTAGATGCCATTACGTTGCGCAAGTGGCCACAGCGTTGGAAACGTGTCCACACCACACACAGCGTCGACGTCGTAGCAGAATCAACATCCCTGTGTCCACGCTTCCTTGGAGCGCTCTGTGCCTTTGTGTACAGAGCGCTCCAAAGAAGAGGACAGGACAGTCGGGATGCTCTGCAGCTCTGCAGCCAGGCCTTTTCCTTGGTGTACTCCTGAGGACAGGCGAAGCAGCTGCCTGTCCTTCCTTCCTGCTCCCCCTCTTTCATTCTCCAATCACTGTGTCTTTGTGTGTCCAGAGTCACTCAGCCATGCCTGCTTTTTTGTGCAATTTTTTTTTCCACAATAAACGCTGTGTATGCATTTGTGTGTGTGTGTGTTGGGTAGAATTTGGCTTGAGCTGTGACCCGAATCCTCAGCTCTTTCGGAAAAGGAGGAGAGTGAGAGAGAGAGAGAGAGAGAGAGAGTGACGAGGAGAACGGATAAGAAGGAGGGAGCGAGAGATGCCTTCAATTTCCACTCGAGACGTCTCTTCATAATAGGATTGGACTTTTT